AACACCCCCTGAGGGTCATTCGCGGCCCCCGGTCAAAATGCAAACGTTGCCGCCCAAGGGGCGTGAGGATAGTAGATCTGGCCTTCCGCTGCCAACATGCCTGCAAATTCTTCCAGGATCTGATCTGATCTCTTGCGCTAGGTGTCCACCCTCGTAACCCTAAACCCTAAACCCTAAACTTAACCCGATACCGTCAACCCCAACCCTAAACCCTTGTAGCCCCAGCAGTAAAGACATTTTTTGAGCTGTAGCGCTTCGCAGTCAGGAGTTGTCGAGTTTCGGGTGAGTGAGCGTTTGACCATCGGTTGAACTACAACTTGTGAGACGTCCATCACAACTAGGGCACCTAGACACCTCTTCCCGAACCCTAAACCCTAAACCCCCTAAACCCTAAACCCTAGGGCAACCCAGACCTGGACGACATTATCACCTGCTTGACTGAGCCCCTGGTCCGTTGAGCAGGATAACCAGCAGAAACAAGCGCAACGATCATCAACGCCCTCCTCCTCCTCCTGAGCCAACTCCTCCTACCGTCCTCCTCCTCCACGTCTTCGCCGTGAATAACAAGACAGTACTCATCGTGCTACTCGAAATGGCATTATGGTTTATGAGGCCTCACCCCCAAAAGCGCCCATTCGTTGCCTGGCACTGCCAGCACCTCGTTCTTCTTTGACAGCGGGCCCCTCTTCATGAACATCTCAGCCAGGGGATGAAGGTGCAGAAAATGGGCTCTGGGTCGAAACTTTGTCGTCGAGTTTGGCTGGCTTGGGAACAAGATCGGGCTGAAGATCTACACACTTGGCATGTAAAAGACTGGCTGGGGTTGCGGTTCAACTCGGACCTGTTGGCTGTTTAGGATGCGCTCGCAGTTCACGCCTGTTGGGCCCCCGGGTCTCTGCTATGGCTTTGGGTTTAGGGTTTAGAGCTTAGGGTTTAGACCCCGATACCGTGAACCCAAAACCTTGAAACCCAGAACCCTACTGGCCCATACCCAAAGCATTGCGCTTAACTTCAACCCGCACCTCCAAACACTGAACCCCTAAACACCTACGGCCCCGAAACCCCAAATCCAATTCCTTGTCGTTCTTGTCCCTTACTGGACCAAGAATCCGAAGACGAAACACCCAAACCCCCAAGACCTTTGCCCTGAAAAAGGAACTTTGAACACCTACGCCCACCAAAGGACTTGTGCCCTAGAAACAGCTTTCTGCGCAGACTCGACGGGAACCGAGCAGCACGTAGCTTTTGGGTAGTCTGGCCGTCGTGGGTTTAGGGCTTTAGGCTTGGGGTTTGGGATGTTGGGCTCAACAGCGCATCTGCCCTAAAACCCTAAACCCTAATAAAGCCCCGAACCATGCAAGAAGTTTAGGGCATCACTGCGTTTCTCAGCTGGTGGGATCGGTTTCAACCCGACACAGGAGGGTCAAGACTCAAGAAATCTCGCGGCTGGAACGATGCAGGAAGCCCAAACGCGAGACGATTCACGTTTTAGGGTTTAGGGTTTACGATGCATAGAGCGCGGAAGTGCATGAGCATGGCGGGCCATGGTAACAGGTGCAGTTGGTCTCTATGGAAGCATAGAACCGTCACTGGATGGTATCCTGCCTCGGTGCTCGAATTTTATGCTGTGCACGTTCACACGTGCGGAAAAGCCGCCTTTTGGATGGAAAACATGCCCAGGGTCTCAGCATCACGAATTCAGGCCGCGGAGCGCTGGCAGAGAGTCGGGTGGCAAGCGACATGCGAACCCCATGGTCCCTGAACTCCCCAAAACACGGTACGGTTGATGGTATAGATCCTGCATTACCCATAATAAGGAATATACCATAATTCCCATAGTTTAGTTTAGGGTTTAGGGTTTAGGGCTCTGCCCTGCTAGATATCCTCTTGCACTAACGCTGGTTCAACAGAAAGTTTTGCTTGCCGGTGATCGTAAAGAACTCGGCTTGCTTGTGCGATGTAGCATGAGAAGCTTTGAAGCAGACGGCGTCGTACCAAGGTTGCTTCATTGGTATCAGCACTTGCCTCCTGTACCCCTGTTGCAATAGTGGAAATTGACGGTGCCAGCCCTCAGCAACGTGAAAGCACAACCATAAGGGGGGGAGAGGGCTAGGATGGGGCTTGGGTTTAGGATGGTTTAAGGCTTGGGGTACGTACAGGGCCTGTAGGGTTTGGGGTTTATGGCCGTCTAGGGTTTAGAGCCGCCAAAATAGTACCCTCGAAGTTGTCGCCGAGGATTTTACGCCTAACGCCTCAACCAAAAGTGCTTTCGAAGCCAAATGGCTTCGCTGCCTCCGAGCATCAGTGCCTTCGCACACCACTGGCCAAAGCTGACCGTCAGGATCTGCGCATGAGGTAGGGTGTTCATTACATACTTGTATCCACTAAGGGACATCCAAGCATACACTCTCCAAAAGTCCAAAGCAGACGTGTTGCCACTAATCGCGAACCAAGGCCGTAATGAGGACCCCACTTCACATGGGTGCTTGCCTCTGGTTCCACATGTCTTCCCTCAGGGCAGTAACAAAACGCGGGAGGACATGCCCTATCGCAGCAGGTCACCTCCGATTCTGTGGCACTGCGTCGGATTGATGCGAACTGCACGGGATGTTTCGAGACAGACATGTTGTCAACACATATGAGTATGCAGATGTACGGGTAAGCACACGTTCGAAACAGTACGTGCGCATGTACAGTCAAGGAACCGCCGTACTGATACTTAATGATATTTATGCTTGCTCATGTCTGTGTATGTGCATGCTTGTTTGTGTGTGTGTGTGTATGTATGTATGTGTGTCTCCGAACCCAGGCTTTGGAAGACATGTGCCATCGTTGGCAGGAACGAAAGGTGCATGCAGCGCTGAGACGTTGGGGAAGGGCGACAAACAGCACAAGCCTCTGACATTCCCAGGACAGTACGTGTGCGATTCGCGAAGTTCATTCGGGAAGAAAGGCCCCGTGTCCTAGGCGTGTCAGAGCTGAAAATGGGCACTGCTTTCAGTGCGAACATACATGTCTGTACCCGGAACACGCTTCATGAGCTTGGACTTTCGCCTTATGCTCAGGTTCCGCTTTTGCTGATGTTGTCAGTGCGAAACATAGAAGGCCTGCGAGGCTCCTCAAAAAGGCCCAAAACCCGTGTGCATATATATATATATACATATAGATGTGTATATATATATAGATATAGACACACATACATACACACGTCTAAATGGCAGTCTATACACATATGTACCACGTATTTGGTATTCATAGCGGTCTGTTCTGTTGCTGATTTAGGATGCCTTTTTTATCGGCACGCACTTAGAGCAAAGGGCCCCTAAACCCTAAACCCTAAACCCTAAACCCCAAACCCTAAACCTTAAACCCTAAACCCTAAACCCCAAACCCTAAACCTTAAACCCTAAACCCTAAAACCCTAAGCTCAGGATTCAGCGGACCCGTCGCTGGTCGAGCCGGTGGAAAGCGACGAGGACATCTTGTTGGAGGCCTTCTTGCGTGGAGCCTTCACCTTCGGAGGCTAGGGCTTTTAGGGTTTAGGGTTGAGGGTTTAGGGGCTTAGGGTTTAGGCTTTAGGGTTTAGGGCTTAGGCGTTTAGGGTTTAGGGGTTTAGGGTTTAGGGTTTAGGGGAGTGACAAACACAACATTGAAAATCGGGTCTAGGGTGTAGGCTTTCGGGTTTAAGAGTTTCGGGTTTAGGGTTTAAGAGCTTAGGGTGTTTTGGCTTAGGGTGTCAGAGTCGGTAAATATGCGGAGAGCAGTGTAGCATGCAAAATCTCAGCCAAGTATACCCTCTGAACAGGTGCACCGTTCGCCTACGTATACGTACGGCCAGTGACCTTGTTGTGGAGTGCTCGTACGACGACTATGACTATGGCTACTTTTCCTCGTACAACTACCACTAGCAACCACCACTCTTAGCTATGAGCCTTTTACTAAACTTTTACCGTTTACTTGTGATGTTCCTTACTGGCGACATAACCATTCCTATTGATTCTTGTGACTACTTATGTTGCGTCTGATTCCACGCAGTTACGCCCTGAATCGCCTGAACCCCTGAAGCCTAAACCCTGAACCCTAAACCCGAACGCTCTAAAGCCCTAAAGCCCTAAAGCATCCAGGCCTATTGTAACTGCCGGGTACTTAGGGCTAAACCCCTAAAGCCCTCAACCCGAGACTCGCATGAACCCTGAAGCCTGAGCCCGGACCTCCTTCTTTACATGGGCCTGATTTAGGAGGTTTTCGAAAATTGGGGACCCCAATATAGTACCCTAAACAGTAGGATCGTTACTATGCGGACCCCAAAATAAGGTACCCCTTATTTTCGGAAAGTCCCATTTGTGCTCGCCGGCCAGGTCCCCTAAGCCCTAAACCCTCAATCACTAGTTACCTAAACCCCTAAACCCAAAAAAGCCTAAACCCAAAACCTGAACCCTAAAGCCTCAACCCTCAACCCTAAACCCTAAATCCCTAAACTCTAAAACCCTGCACCAAATTGGGATCCGGTCGCCGAATCGATGGCCAAGGCATCGAAAAGGACCTGACTCGCCACGGAGCCGCCCTGGAGGGCCTTCGGCAAGGTTTAGGGTTTAGGGTTTATGTAGGGTGTATTTTGGGTTTAGGGTTTAGGGTTCGGGTTTTGTTTGCCTCCTGGGTTTCGGATTTTGGGCTTTGCGGAGGTTGCGCAGGGTTTCGTGTGCTTGATTAGGTTTTTTTCAACGGCGTTCATAAGGGCATGTTTCGGGGCTCTATAAGAGGTGTTCAGGGTCCGATAAGGGGTGTTGGGAGAGGGTGCATGGGTGCGATGAAGAGTACTACAAAGGCTCTGCTTTGAAGGTGCTATAAGGCTTCTGGTGGTGTGGGGTTTGGGGAGCCAAGGTATAAGGTGAGGAGCTTGGGCTTTGGAGTTTCGGGTTGCCCTGAAGTGCCAATGGTTAGGGATAGCTTAGGGCTTCGAGTTTCGACCTTCCCTTAACCCCTCAATGTTAAGCCCGCACCTTCGGCTGCAGGCGCCGCTCTGCCAGCTTCTTGCTGCTTGCCTGGCTCAGGGTTTGGGGCTGAAGGCTTCAGGGTCCATGTGGCTTGGGGTTATAGGGCCGGCCCACGGCTTCAGGCAGGTTCGGGGCTTTAGGCTCTAGGACTTAAGTGTAACGTTCATGGTGGCCTGAAAGGCACCAGCATCGAGCCCCAGGCAGTCAAAGGTAGAGGCGCTGGCCGGCAGAGCGGATGGAGGGTACCTTCAGGACGTTTACGCTTTGCAAAATGCCTAAACGGCTCTTGGGCTTTGTACTTGTGTTATTTACACCTACACATATGCATGCTTACCCGACATACATACATACATACATGCATGCATGCATGCATGCATGCATGCATGCATACATACACACCACATACGTACATACATACAGCATGCATGCATACGAACATGCATACATACATACATGCATGCACGCTTGCATGCATGCATACATGCATACATGCATTCATGCATACCTGCATACCTGCATACCTGCAAACATTCAGAGTCACACCGAAAGAAAAGACCAAAACTGAAAGGTTGGCTATTGGAGAAACAAGGTGCTTCATGTACTGCATCAGTCCGGCGGTCTTGGCATCCAAGGTTGCGGCCATCTTTTCTTGGGAGGTCGTGAGGAGCTTTGGCGCGCACCCAGGGGATCTTGACCACAAAATGGCTTGAGCCGCAGGTGCAGTGCAGGAAACCCGGTAAGTAACTCCACCGGCAGGGCTCTAAGCCTACAATCTTGCACCCTCTGGAAGCCCTGCAAGAACAAGCCAAGGTAGAGGAGGCTGAATGATCAATAGTAGCTATAATCCTAATATAATTAGGGTACCATATCTGTTTCAATATTGACCCCCCCACATCAAACCCCATACACAGACCCTTACCATTCAACATAGACAGAGCCCTTTATTGGCGCAACCGCATTCACCCTATGCTTGTTCTAAACCTCCCGAACAAAGCTTCCTTCTACCCCAGTTTGCCGACCAAGCCCGAAACAAGACATGCTCGGGCCCTCACCGGATAGGCATCGCGGCCAGAGTTTCTGCAGTGGGCCTCGTTGATCTCAACCGTGTTGTCCGCCAGGAAGTAGTGGATGATGAAATATATTCGGGCACCATACCTGGTGCTCTTACCAGCAACCGCTGCGGCTGCAGCAGCAACTGCAAAAGTAGCGGCAACAACAACGACGATGCCGACACTGACACCGACACCATCACCAGCAGCGGCGGCAGCAACAACAAAAACAAACAGCAGAAGATGGGAATCATCTCCGGCATCGTCATCATCACCACCGTCATCAGATTTCATCCGGCTTTTATCTGCTATTACTTTTCAACTTCATCGCCATCGTCATCTCCATCATCATCCTCATGATTATCTGTCTTCTCATCTTCCGCACCATGGGCACCAGCATCGTCATTGAGCATGGCATCATCAACCCACTTGGCCCCGGTCAGAACCTACTGACACCAACCTGCATCACCATGGCAGTGTGACAACTTCTTGAATGGCAATTCTGCGCTGCTGTGCTGTTTGTGCTCCCTGTTCTCCTGAAAAAGGCCCATCTGAAGAACCCTCTGTTGCAAACCCTAAGTGGCAAGTGCCGAGCGGCGGAGTGGTGTCATCCCAGAAAGCTTTGAATCGCAGGACTTTCCTGCTGCAGCGCGAAACCCCTTACTTGAGTAATGTACCTAAAAAGCCATAATTCGATGCGTAACCTGAAACCCTTAACCCCGTATTGATCTAGAGCGCTTTAGGGTTCAGAGTTCAGGGTTTAGGGCCCTAAACCCCATCGGTCTCAATATGTTCGCCTGAATGAACCCCCAATGAGGAACCCCAAAAATCCAGGTTTTTTACAGGCTCCAGGCATAGGTATAGTATCACCAGAGCCAACACTGGAAGGACAGGGGTTTTTCAGTTAGCTTTGGGGTTGAGGGTCTTTCAATTTAGGGTGCAGGGAAGTAGTGACAGTGTTGCTTTGAGGTTGTCAAAACCCTCTTCACTTTAAGCAAAACGTCCCTGCCGGGTTCTGGGGCTGCGCCTGTAAGATGGAGGCGAAGCTTCCGAGATAAAACGACTGAACCCACCCCAAACCTGGCGGTTTGGGTTTAGAGTTACACAGTAACTCATTCCACCTAGACGGTGCAATACACTTTGCTGTAAGGGTTTAGGGTTTAGGGATTTAGAGTGTCGAATTGAGGGCTCTCTGGGCAGCGGTTTCTGCATTCGAGGAGGCTGGGGTTTCGAGCGCGGTTCAGAGGGGTTCCGGCGTTGGGGCCTACATTCCTTTAGGGTTTAGGGTTTAGGGTTGACACCTTATGGTGCTTGGGGTGTAGGGTTTAGGGTTGAGATTAGGGTGCGGGGGGCCATGAACCTGAAACCCTGAACCCGAAAGCCCTACAAAGAGCTTAGAAATTCCTTGGCCTCACCCTCAACCCTGAATCCTAAACCCAAACCCCAAACCCTAAGCCCACAGAGAGCCTGTCGTTCAGAAGGAATTGGCTGAACTTCATGTCCGCAGGGGGCGCCCCGATTTGGAACTTGGCAAGCTGCTTGGCCTCTTTTCGTTGAGGGTTGAGGGTTTAGGGCTCAGGAGTTAAATGTTGACTTCATTTTAATACCCCCCCCCCCTCCCCCGCCCCGCCGTCTGATTGATTTCGGGCCTAGGCAGGGGGATTGATTATTCAGAAGGGGGACTACGCTCGCTGAACCAGGGAGGAGTACAGTAGCACAGCAGTACAGTACAGTAATACAGCATTGTTTCTCTCTCTGCAATACTGCAGTGGTCGCAATAATTGCAGTTCCTCTTTCTATCTGCAATACTGGAGCGGTCGCAATAATTACAGGTCCTCTTTGTCCCTGCAACACTGGAGCCGTCGCAGCAATTGCAGTTTCCCTCTCTCTCTCTGCAATACTGGAGCGGTCGTAATAGCAATTGCAGTCTCTCTCTCGCTCTCTCTCCGCAATACGCGAAGGGTCGTAGTAATTGCAGTTGCTCTCTGCTCCGTCCTGCCTCTGATTCCAGCAAAGCTAAGCAAACCGACATCACCAAACCCTCCAAATAAAATCGGGTTCCGGGAATCGGGTTTGATATTTGGGAGGGGGGGGGGGCGGGGGGTGATAATGGAGTTCTAGGAATCGGGTGTTACAATTGAGGAGGGATTTATAAAAATGAAGTCAACTTGATGGTTGAGGGCTCAGAGTTTGCAAGACTGTTTTAATTTTACACCTGGGCTATGCATCTTTGACATGGTTTACTAAACCCTAAACCCAAAAATTCCTGAACCTAATTTAAGGCTTTGGGGTGAAAAGCTCTGGGGGCAGGATCGTTTTGGGGTTTGGGGCTTGCGAGCTTGGAGTTTCGGGTTTAGGTTAGGGTTTAGGGTTTAGGCTAAACTACTCCTCGACGAATCCGTGTACCCGACATCGTATGTGAAGGCTCCCCCGAAACAGTCGTGCATGGAACCATGTTACTATAAAGCTTTGTGGGGTTGCTGGGGAAGCACAATTAAGATCGACTATCCCTAAACCCCAAATCCCTAAACCCCTGAACCCTAAACTCTAAACCCTAAACCCCTAAACCCCTAAACCCCTAAACCCCTAAACCCCTAAACCCTTAAACCCTAAACCCGAGGCCATGGCTTTAGGTCCCGTTGCTTCCAGTGCAGGCTTTGGGCTTCAGGCTCATTCCGAGCCCTGCGCACTGTACCCTAAAAGGGACCTTCGTCTGGTTTAGGGGTTTAGGGTTTAGGGTGACCTTAGTTTAAAGAACTACCCATGTAGAGACTTAAACCCTAAAGCCTAAAGCCTGAACCCTAAACCCTAAACCCTAGACCTTAATCCCGTAGATTCAGGTCTTTACGGAGCATTCGGCACTCCAGGCTTGTGCTTCCCTGGAGCCCTTAAGACTCGAAATGTTTGATAAGGTTTAGGGTTTAGGGTTTAAGGTTTAGGGTTGAGGGAGGGTTTAAGGTTTAGGGTTTAGGGTTGTCTGGGTTATTTCGGTAATCCTCTAAATTAGGGCCCTTTTTGGGAACCCAACAGACGGCAGCCACCCCTTTAAAAAGGGAAACTGAAGGGACCCTTTTTTTTTAGAGACTTTACCCGACGACTCTCAGCCTGAAACTCAGGCCCTTGACCCTGAACCTTTCCGCGCAAAGCCCCGACTTCTTAGCCGTGGGGCGTTGAATGCTGCTTTGCTGGTTGGCAAACCACCTTGCTCCGTCAGCTTCCTGAGTTTGTAGGTCTCCTGCCATTTGTCCTGCCAGGGCAGACTGCATTGCAAACCAGAACGGACATGTTGCTCAAAGGAGCGGTGGCAATTGGCTTCGATTTGCAGTCATCCATATTCAACCTTGGGGGGTTGATGCACAGGTAACCCTAAACCCTAAACAGTCCCTAAACCCTTCCTAAACTTCCTAACCCCTACACCCTAAACCCTTCCTAAATTTCCTAACCCCTAAACCCTAAACTCTTTCGAATTGTGCTTTGGGAATCAGAGTCAGGCTAGGGGGTTCTAGTTGAGAGTGTCGGCTTTCAGATCCTGAGCCCTAAACCCCTTGAACCCTGAAGTATCGAGGCTTGCGTTTAGGATTTAGGATTTAGGGTTTGGGGTTTAGGGTTTAGTGTTCAGGGTTTAGGATTTAGGGCTTTTTTGCACGACCCTTCTCCCTTCGCCACAAGTCGCAAGGGTTTAGGGTCTTAGGGATGCTTGAGAGAATATCTATTCCTGGCGCTTCTTGTCCTTGACCAACTCCTCATCTGGCGCCAGCTCGATCCCGTTCTGCCTTCCGGTTCTATCGAATTTAGGGTTTAGGGTTTGGGGTTTTATCGGATTTGCTTGTGAGGTCTGTGGCTACGTGTCGGAGGGTGTCGGTCTCTAGGCCTGAGGCCGTGGGTGTTGGCATTTCTAGGCCACCCTGGCAAAACCCAAAACACATAGAGCGTCCACGGTAGAGTTCGTTTTTTGGATACCTTGTCAACCAGAACAGGAACCACGTCACCGCGTCAAAGACCGTAAAAAGCCCTCAAACCACTCAAAACGCCTCATAAGCCCGCACAAAACGTGCACAAAGACCTCTGCAATTCCTCGTGTCCCCAAAGCTAGGGATGAGGACGCGGCTCGTAAAACCAGCGTGTGAAGCGATCGCACGCGCTGATCTGGATGACCCGCCCATTTATGCTGACCTGCAAGGCTTCTTCGAGGGTTTTGGGGTGTAGGCTTGGGAAGTTTTGGAGTTTAGGGTCTTTAGGGTTTTTGGGTTTAGGGTCTGGGGTTTTTAGGCTGGAGGCTTTACAGTAGGGTTTAGGGCTGCGGGCTTGCGGTATGAGGTTCAGGGCGTTAACTTACGCCGACCTGCATTGAGGTCTAGGGCCTAGCCCTGGGGCAAGACGTCCTAGGACAGAAGTAGCAAAAGAACACGAGGCACAGAGTCTGATGTTTGAAACCCATTAGCCGTGGTAGGACTGGTGCATGCCGCCGGGCTGAATGTAATAGTGGCAACGGTACGAGTCGTCGCCTTCTTCGCCATAGTTGTCGTTGACGCTGTAGTCGTCGTAATCGTAACAGAAGCTGTGGTACGACAACTGAGTATCATTGCCAGCGCAG